AAATCATCCTAAATTATAATACACCACTACTTTTATTGCTTTATTTGATATGATTAAATATCTGTTTATTTCTTCCACTACTACTACAAATTACCACATAGATTATATATGCATGATTATACAATTAACAATTTCAAAAATTTATTTCAAGATTTATACCATATATTTTTATATTTACTGTATATTATATATAAAAGTCCACTGTAACTTTAATACTGTGAACTGTTAAGAGATATTCTTAACATTGTTTTCTTAATGAGGAATTATTTCTTCTCAATTCTAGCTTACCTAATATTTTGGGAGTAGGGGAGGAAAATAGGGTATCATGCCTGAATTTAAGACCTCCCACTCTTTAGGTTTTCTTTTTATGACGGATACTCTATGACTTGTTGGTTAATTGGAGGTAGAAGTCATAGATTTGTCTTTGTCTGCCTAGTTTGGCTTTGGACTCAGATTATGGGAATGAACCACCTGTTCCCCTTTTTATTAGTGTTATTGCAAAGTTCTATCTCTATTGTGTTTAATTACACTAATGAACTCATAGAACTTCATATGAACTATGTCTTTGGAAATGACTCCCAAATCCTCATTTCATAAAAAAACTGAGCCCCAAATATACCTTGAGGCTACTCGTAGAAATTAACAGTACATTCCCTGTAATAGGAGGAAGATCTTCATTCTGACCCATTGCTGATGCAATAATATAAATCTTAATATTAACAATGAGAAGATTATGTTGTAAAATGAATTTGTTTATTCTAAAGTAAGTGCTCCAGATTTTCAAACTGCTCACTGCTTCTTGGATGAATATTCCTTTCAAACTGGTGCTGAAGAATTAGAATATATTAGAAGACAGCTCATAGAAACTTCTCCATGCGATCTGCCATGAAGCATTTTCTTTTATTAACCCAGGTTGATTGATTAGTTGATGGATATAACCCAGCACTGTTCATCCCGAAGCCTATCTGAATCAATTCTTGCTTCCCAGATCACTAATTGGCCTGTTTCCTGTCCCTAATTGCACTTTGTGAGGATGACTCTAGGCAACCATCTTTGTGAGCTCATTAACAGCTTTGTTCATCCTCAGGGAGGTTAAAACAGTCACTCAAGGTCACACACCTACTTAACAGGGAGTCTGGTTTCAAACCTACATCTGACTGAATCTGATTGCTTTCAGAGCTTTGAAGGCTCAGAAGACACACAGCTGTCAGAAAATTCTGAGTTAACTACTTGAATGCCAGTACAAAAAGCTAAAATATAGATGAGAAATCACGAATGGTTAGTTATTTTTCACTCTTGTTGTTGTGTGTTTCCTATTTTTCAGAGTAGGAAAGAACATGGAATATGAAGGTAAACAGACTTTCCATTACTATTTTTGTTTAATTCTTATGGCTTGGTGTTTTCCAGTTCTAGATTCTGTATGCATAATGTGTTCATAAAATTTACTAAATGGCTTCATACATGAATGAAAATAAGTCCTTGGCTAACTCACTGGTCAGCTCAAAGCAACTGTTACAATCATTTGATAGCAATGCATTTCATAACAATGGTCATCAACTTCAGTTTATTTTATTCACTCCCTCATCCTTATTGCACTACAGGCCAAATGTTCAGAATTCAGAAAACAGATTAGGCCACTTTTATTATTAGGTCTATATAAAATAATATAATAGATGATGTCTTCTTATGTCTTCAGTAAAGAAAAAGAGAAGGATATAACTAAATGCTTAAATAGGGATAAATAGGGATACAGGTTGACCCATTGCAACAATGAGATGTGCAACATACTTTGTTGAAAAAAACGAACTTCACAATTTCAGGGGGAGGGGGAGGAATTGAGGAGATAGAGAGGGAAAGTATGGTAGGGGAAAAACAAAGGAGAGGGTAACAATGCTAGATAGGAAATCTCATTAAATTACTAATGTAACTGAAAAATATATATTAAAAAAAAGTAAAAGAGATTCAGATACATTAGGCCAAACCTATTCTTTCCTATAATGTTGTACATTTCCTTCTCATAACTTTCATAAGATCAGTTTCAAATGTGGGTTGTGGAGAGGACTTTAAGGAGCTTGGAGCTACATCAAGACTTCTCTTCCCATATCTTAGCTATGGTAAATAATGCTGCAATAAACATAGTTGTGCTGGTAGCTTTAGTGTGGTCTTGTTTGTAAACATTTGGGTAAATGCCCAAAAGTGGGATTGCTGGGTCATAGGGGAGTTCTATGTGAAGTCTTTTGAGGAACCTCCATACTGCTTTCCAAAGTGGTTGAACAAGTTTACATTCCCACCAACAATGAAGTAAGGTTCCTTTCTTTTTTTTTTTTTTTTTTTAATTTTTTTTTAAATTTAATTTAATTTTATTTGTGAACATACTGTACAGAGGAGTTACAGTTACATGGGCAGGATAATGCATACATTTCTTACCAAGCATTGCAGCCTCCTCCTTTGTTTACCCTTCACATCCCTTCCCAGCCTCCCCCCTCCCCCCCTAATCCCAATCCTTCTTCTTCCCTCCCCCCGCCCCCCCCCCCCCCCCCCCCCCCCCCCCCCCCCCCGCGCCAACGTTGTAAAGCTCGTTTTGGACATGACAACTTGACAACTTGTACTTCTCATTGTTGCAACAGGTAGTAAGGTTCCTTTCTGTCCACATCCCCTCCAGCATCTGTTGTTGTTAGAGTTCTTGATTTTTAGATGCCCCTCAGTAGATGAATGGATCAAGAAAATGTGGTATATATACACAATGGAATTCTATGCCTCCATCAGAAAGAATGACATTGCCCCATTTGTTAGGAAATGGAAAGGCTTGGAAAAAATTATATTAAGTGAAGTAAGCCAGGCCCAAAGAAACATAGGTCCCATGGTTTCCCTTATTTGTAATATATAGTATATGTATGAGTCAAGCGGAAAAGGTCAGATAATGTGATGTCAGGAAAATGAACCCTTAGATGTGTATTTTATTGTTTTTTTTCTTTCATGCATGTGTTTCTAACGCATTTATAAGATTATCTCTTTGTTGCTTTGTATATCCCTCACCCACAGTATAACCCCTGCTTTCACTATATTTGATGTCAGTATAACTTGTGGAGGAGATGGGGAAAAACCAGTTGTTTAAGGATACAGGTGGACCTGTTGCAACAATGAGAAGTACAACTAGCTTTACAACGTCGGTGCGGGGCGGGGGAGGGGGGGGGGGAGGAGAAGGATTGGGATTGGGGGGGGGAGGGGGGAGGTTGGGAAGGGATGTGAAGGGTAAACAAAGGAGGAGGCTGCAATGCTTGGTAAGAAATGTAGGCATTATCCTGCCCACGTAATTGTAACTCCTCTGTACAGTATGTTCACAAATTGAATTAAATTAAAAAAAAAAAGACTTCTCTTCCCTTTATTTGATCCTATTTCCTGCATCAAGATTTCAAGAACAAGCATAAACTGTCAAAAGCTCCTATCCTTTCCTTCTGATTTTTACTTTTGATTTACATCTATACATATAACTTGAGAGTTGGTAGGTATGGACTGCAATTGTATTTTTTGAGTTTGTCTTCTAAAAGCAATTTAGTTATCATAAGGCATATTGGAGTCATTTTTACCAATACAGTGGAGAGTATGATTCTGAATATATATCTGCTTCCAATTTAGTATTAAACCTAAAAAGTAATAATAATTTGTACTTGTTGCTTGGTTTTATTTTAAATATTCTTTTCAGCAGACACTATTATAGTCATCATAATGATAAAATCTGTTCCTAGTCTTGATGCATTAAAAATATAACTTTTAGAGTTAGTTTCTCAAAAGAAATAGTGCTAATGATTGCAATTAATCTGCATTTGGCCTCTTATTTTAATTTTTGGTGAGTGCTCACACAGTTCCTATTATCTCCTGCATTATACACACACACACACACACACACACATTCTTTTAAGTCAAAATTTTGAATTAATATTTGAATGTCCTGAATTTAACCTTCTAAGTGTTGTTTGGAAGCTATTTATAATTCTGAAAGTAGAATTTGTAACATGAGACCCAGTAGTTTCTATGTTGTTCTTCTGTGCATCTTCTTAGAACACCAGTAGCTAAATATAATCTTTGGCATTCTACTTCAGCCAACTCTAATTTGCAGAGAAATATTAACTTTCCAATCGGACCTTTATTTAGATCTTACTCTTTCTCACAGTGTACCAGTCTTTCCTGTCAATTTGAAGGTCCTCTTCATTGGGAAGTATACCAACTATTATTGTTCTACATTGGCAGTGCACTATATTTGGACACATTTTTAACAACACTAATTTTGCATTTATCATTTAAAGCAAGAGGGGAATATAAATCAATTAATACACCTTCTGTAAGAGTCTTGCTTACATTTTTTCCAAGATTTCATATGAATAATATAGACCTGCATGCCTTGTTTTGGTTCATTCACCAAATAAGTAATTATTGATGTTACAAATAATAATTATCCATATAAATGATAAAGGAAGAATTCCTATTTTTTCTGGGGTAACACTTCCTTCATATATGAAGCACAAGAAAATATGAATTTTTTAAATGTCTGCTTGGTTTCTTGTTTGAAATAAGGTTAGGCCTTAGGTCAATTTAAAACTCATATAGCCAGAGAAGTTGAACATTTCCTCATGTGTCTATTGGCCATTCTTATTTCCTATTTAGAGAAATCTCTCTTTAAGTCTTTAGCCCACTTATTAATTGGGTGATTGTTTCTTTGAGGATTTGTTTTGAGGGGATCTTAATTTTTTGAGTTCTAAGTATATTTTAGATATGAGGCCCTTGCTGTTTATAGCTAGTGAAGATCTCCACCTCACCCCAGTTAGAATGGCTATAATCTAGAAATATAATAACAACAGATGCTAGAGGGAATATGCCAAAAGGAATGCTACTGCACTAATGGTGGGAGTGTAAACTTGTTCAACCACTCTGGCAAGAAGTATGGAGGTTACTCAAAAGATTACCACATAGAGCTCCCCTATGACCCAGCAATCCCACTTCTGAGCATTTACCCAAATGATCACAAACAAGGCCATACTAAAGCTACCTGCATAACTATGCTTATCATAGCATTAATCACCATAGCTACGATATAGAACCAACCCAGATGACCCTCAGTAGATGAATGAGTCAAGAAATATATATACATATATATGCATATATATATGCATATATATATATATATATATATATATATATATATGGAAATTCTGTGACACTGGCCTATTTGTAAGGAAATGGTAAGACTTGGGAAAAAAATCATATTAAGTGAAGTTAGCCAGCCCCAAAGAAGTATAGGTCCCATGTTTTCCTTTACTTGCAATCATTAGTATATGTTCAGGATAATCTTAACTGATGAGCAGAATAGCTCAATAGCGTATTGATATATAAGTTGGTAAGCTAAATGAACTCCAAGACGTGAATACAAGAGGTTTTTCTTTGTTGTTGTTGTTTCTAATGCACACGTGATTTCTTTTTGTTTTTGTATGTTCTTCCCATTATGGATTATCCACTGTTGTCACTGTACTTGATTTTGGTGCCCTGGTATTGTATTGTACATATGTTTATTTGAATTAGTGACAAGAAGGAGAACAGAATAGTGGGACAAAGGACAAAGGGGGAACCAATGCAAGACAATATGTTGGAAATGATCTGTACAACTTTGGGGAGGATTGAGGGGGAGGGAAAGTAAGAGAAAAATGAGGGAAGGGTAACAAGTTTGACAAGAAATGTATTTATTACCTTAGTTAAGTAACTGTAACCCCTCTGAATATCACCTTTATAATAAAAAAAGACTCCTCTACTTGTTTTTCTTCTGGGCATCCAACAGAAGAATATGTGTCATTTATGTGGCGTTTTCTGATGGTGGAAAGTAAACACAAAAACACCAGAGGACACTTTTATAATGTCTTTTAAAGCAATGGTCCGAAAGATGTATATCACCAAGTTTTCTAACTTCTGTAATAATTCATTAATGAGTGAGTCAGAGATAAATTTCCAATGGTAGCTAAAGTATTGTTACATGATGTGAACTTTGTGTGTTTATTTTTTCAGAGGGTATGAAACAGATGATATGAGAAAAAGAGAGAGAAAAGAATTGTTGTATGGGCTGGGAAGGTGGCTCAGTAGTAGAGCGTTTGCCTTGCATGCCTGAGGCCCTGGGTTCGATTCCTTAGCACCACATAAGCAAAAAGAAAAAAGCCAGAAGTGGCACTGTGGCTCCAGTGGTAGAGCACTAGCCTTGAGCTGAAAAGCTGAGGGAAAGCACCCAGCCCCAGAGTTCAGGCCCCACGACCGGACCCCCCCCCCCAAAAAAAAAGAATTGTTGTAAATATTTAATCTAAATGCAACAAACTCGCTTAAATAATATCCATTTCTATTGAAAGTTACTTCTTTCCTCACTTGAGTTTTCACTTAAAAGTGACATGTCATTTTACAATAATGATGAAAGTGAGCTTATTAAATAAAAGCTGTTGTCATTCTCTTTTTGTAAAATCATATCTGGACAGATTTCTATGGCTCCAAACACTTAAATTCTCTATGTAATAAAAATAAAAAGGCAAAGAAAGAAGATCAAAGATGACATAATGCCTTCCTTTGCTTCATGTCACCTTGACTAAAAAAGTCTTCACAGATACAAATATGTTTCATTTGTCTTCTTTCCTACATCCTAGAGTATTTTATAATCAATGCAATTAATCATAGTCTAGATGGCTTAAACTCTAATTTTCTTTGGTTATATGTACAAAGGACACTTGTAAAAGGGCAATGTATGCATATTTTCAGATACAGCTATATTAGGAAAGAAAAGACTTGAAATTGAGAATGTTGAAATTGATTAAAATAAATTCAAGACTCTACGCTTCAGAAAGATTTGTACCTTTTTAGCAATTTGATGTATATCAGTGTGAAAACCAATTAAATCTTTGGTATGAATTGAAAATTAAATAATTATGATCTTCACAAGTAAATATTTAAAAGTATTTGTTAAATGTCAACATACATTTTTGATTCAAAGAAATGTTGGGAACTAGAATTAATATGTATTCAAAATAAACAATAGCATATACTAAAAATAAATACAATTTATACAGAAGCCAGCAGCTTACATCTATAATCCTGGCTACTGACCAAAAATGTAACTCTTACTTGGATTATTTAATTTTAGCTCAAAAGGCTGAAATCTGAGGACCAAGTTCAAAGCTAATTCCAGCAGAAATTTCCCTGAGGCTCTTTTTTTCTTTCTCTTTTTTTAATATTTTTTGGGGGGGTCCAGTCGTGGAGCCTGAACTCTGGGCGTGGGCTCTGTCATTCAAATCTTCAGCTCAAGGCTAGCACTCTACCACTTGAGCCACAGCACCACTTCCGGCTTTTTTTTCTGCTTATGTGGTGTTGAGGAATCAAACCCAGGGCCTCATGCATGCAAGGCAAGCACTCTACCACTGAGCCACCTTCCCAGCCCTAATATATGTTTGTTTTTTTATTGTGAAGATACTGTACAGAGGGATTACAGTTACATGAGCAAGGTAATGAGTCCATTTCCTACGGAGCATTGTTATACCCACCTTTATTTTTCCTCTATCATCCCTTTCCTCCCCACTTCCCAACCCTCAACCCCAAAGTTGTAAAGTTCATTTTCAACATACTGTCTTGTACATCTCATTGTTACAATGGGTCAAGTGGGCTAAAGACTTAAAGAGAAACTTCTCTGAAGAGGAAATAAGAATAGCCAATAGATACATGAAGAAATGTTCAATTTCTTTAGCCATAAAAGAAATGCAAATCAAAACAACCATGAGATTCCACCTCACCCCAGTTAGAATGGCTATAATCAAGAAATCCCTGAGACTTACCTGCAATTAATCATCAAAAAGCTGGAGGTGGACCAGTGACTCAAATGATAGAATGCTAACCTTGAGCAAATTTCTCAGGGACAGGGCCCAGGCCCTGTGTTTAAACCACAGGACTGTCCCTTCCCTCCACCCCCTCAAAAAAAAGAAACCCAAAGCAAACACAAATCTTTAGAAATCATAATTATAAACCTATTTCTCACAATGAAAATGAAGGACTGGAATATATGTATCATTTTAGCTAATAAAATAATTCAGTTAGTTGCCTTTTAAGTATCATAGCCATTTGTAGATGTAACTATTTTATTCTATCTAATAAAAACAAAATATTATCAAGTAAAGAAATATACTTATCAATGAACATTATGTATATAAATTCTGAATTAAAACATTTCCCATTGGTTAATAATTTATAGTTGTCATGCAAATATTCTCTCCACAAGAACCTTATAGCATATTTTATTCACCTTGTTTCTTGTATGCTTTGTTGATATTCCTTTCTTCTCAATATAAATGAATGCATGTAGCACATGCAAGTTTTCAGAGAAGATGTCATAGAATTCAAGACCCAATCTGTCTTCCAGAGTGCCCTTTCCCTTAGAGTAGTTCATTTATGATTGCATAGCCCTTGCCTCTGATGCCTCTAAATTAGTCTACTGGAAAACAATTAACTATCTGTTTATTGCTGTAGCCCCACTTAGGAAATACATTAATAAGCACCAAAAAGTTTTGGGTACTCTTGTTAATAGCAACAAAAGCTTGAAAATATTCTACAACATAAATTTGTAATCTGAAATCCTAGCATGAAGTTTACAGATGAACTCAGCTAGAGCATTTCATTTATATTGCTTACATTATCTTATTTTATCTTTTATTATTTTCATTTCCAGTGTTTGACTGCTCATTACAATATGTTTGAATATTGTCTTTGCAATATGATTGAATTCTTTACCATGACATTAACCCAGTGTGACAGTCTAAATCACAGGTCTTTTGTGGAATTCTGCTTCCCAGAGTGGAGAGTAAAGTTACTTCTCACAAGGTAACATAAACTCTGATGTAACTTAGAGGAACCTTCTGTGGAAAATAAATCATCCTTTGAGAATGATATTTTTCTAAGATTGCTGTTTTTATATTGTGGATGACCACCATATTATATGAAATTATTTAATACAATGGTTGTAATCGTGTTTTAAAGATTACAACTTCCTATCCAGAATGGATCTCCTCCCTCCTATTCTAGTTTACTTTTCTTTACAAGATAATGCCATTTCTCACCTGTGAGACACAAAGGCCTATGTGACCCCTGAAATCAATGCAGTTTTGGATCCACAATACATTAAGAAACTGTGGTCAAAAGACAAACTTAAAAATTAATGACCCAAAGTTTTTCTGAGCATATTGCTCTGAAAATATAATTAGAGGGTTTTTTTTAAAATAAAATGTATGTATTGTTTAACCCAGTAGAATGAGCCTCAGGTTATAACTTAGCTGTTCAAGAGTTAGTACGCCTTGGTGACATATTCTGAGCCTATGTTCTTTTTCCAGCACAAAAGAAGCAATTAAGACACTAGTTTTGTTTTTTAATCAGATTGTTGCACAGCCCAAGAAGAAATGTCAAGTTCATCAAAAATATTATAAGAGGAGTACAACACCTGTTGAATCAAATGTAATATTCAATCCGAAAATTTCTCATTAAAGAAAGAAGCATCAAATTTCTAATCTAAATACTTGTCTTCATTTATTGTAAAATTTTGTATAAGATCAGATACTCCCGTATTCTGTTTAGTGGTTAGGAGTAATTTCAACCACTTTACTTATGGGACATTTGTAGCCAGCATGTAAAGGAGTCACATAGCAACCAGAGTTAGCCCTATCAGTAGTGAAACAGCGTAATTGGCCTTCAACTACACTTCTGATCATTGCCAGTTTGCACAGAAATGTTAAATATTGGCTGATTTTCTTGGCTTTAGTACATATGATCAGCTTGAAGGCCAATGTGAAGTAAAAGATAAATAAAAGACTTTGCAGTTTAACCATTATTTATTGAGCAAAATGACATGCAAAGCTCTGTTCCAGACACTGAAAATAGAACAGAAAAGAGAAGAAACAATGTTGTCATCCTTGAGATATATAGCATAGCTGGGAAACAGAAGATAAACATTTGACAAATAAATGTTTTGGCAGTTCCTTATTAATGGGTCACCCATCCCATTGACATGTCCACCATAAACAACATAGACTGACTCCCACAGTCATGATGGAAATAAATGATTGGA